CTTAACGTATTTCACTAAAAAATGCAACATTTTAACTCGGTTTTGGTAGATTTTTACGTGACTAACATAAGGCTACTGTGGAAGTGCACATTTCAGTTACAACGACACTCGTTTATAACGACACTATTTTTAGGTCCCTTTGATGACGTTATAACCAAGTTCTACTGTACATGAACACTACCGCAGATAGACTAAGAAGGTAGGTATGTAGCGAAGTGAATGGCATAAACCCCCAATAATGTAATAATCAAGTGTAGTCATGACTAGTGAAAATCTAATAAATTCAGTTACCAATCCGAACCCCATCTCAAGTCACAAACACATTACAGTATATAGCATTTCCATCGTTTTGTCCATTCTTCAAAAGCACCATGGACGTCATTTTCCTTAACCTTTAATGTCCAAAGTGCCCCGTTTGGGCCACTGATGAGTAAGGTCGTCGTGACCAGTCTGGCATTTAAACTCCGCTAGTGGAAGCACACACACACGCCGCTGCGCATGCACAGTCCAAAATATTTACTTTTTAAATGTAGTAATTACCAGACCGACGTGAGTAAAACCCTAATAGAGGAATTAAAATGGTACCTAAGTGAACAACAACAAAAAAGAGTATACGTATGAGTTATTCCTAAACTCGTCCACGAGCCAGTACTTTTATTACAGATTAATGTGTTAAAAATATATAGTAAAATTCGATGAACATACCTTTTTTTTTGTTATCTGCTTGATGTATATATAGGCTGAAATGAAACTACAGTATTTGATTTCACTATGAAAGCACAGAAAACAGATCCCACTCTGAAACTCAGCCACGATGCAGCTGTCTGTTCACGCCCACAGAAAGGGCAGTAAGCTTTTACAGCTATAACGGAAGGTCTGAGCACTGAAGAAGGGACCCCTCTAGCTATTTCTTGAATAGCCATGCTTTCAATCTTCTGTCACTTAGTCAAAAGATTCGAAAATCGAAAGAGTGTAACAGAGATGTAATGTTTTCCAGCCAAGAACCAAATGATTTTATTGCTTCCATCTGTTTTATGGCACCAGGGACTGCTAAAATTGTCTAGTATTAAACAGAAACGAATTTATAATGCAGAATAACTCTGTGAAGAACTTGGAAACCAATTTTGCGGTACGCATCAAAATTAAAAGAAAGAAATTGAAAATAGAGTATAACTTTTTGTATAATATTTTTCAAATCTTTCGTTGTAATATGCGGCACTATGTTCTTTGCTGATACAAACAAAGTTAATTCCATCCATTTATCATAAAAATTGTGTTCGACGCAGCATTTTTAGACGCAAAGCTTAAAATTGTTTAAGCGCCCTAACAGGAACAGACATTGAAATGCAGATTAGCAACATGCATTTAAACACGCACCAGCAGGAGTCATTTAAATAAACTCCGGCCAGCTTAAGCTTACCACCATTTCAAAAGCCCGGTGTTTAAAGGTTAATGCTGTCGAGTACCACTTGTTATGCCCTTTTGATAATTTCAGAATGTTGTCCCTTCAGTTTGAGTTTCTGTTTGGGAA